CAACTTGTGGTCTCCCAATCTCCTTTGTGGGTTGAATAAATGTCCCCAAATAATATGAAAGTTGCTTTATCTATAGAATGATAACACAATTATTCTTTAGAATGGTGCCTTTCCATGGAAAAAAGATACCATGGTTATCAAATGATGGGGTGATAGGACCTGGGCCTCTAAAAGGAAAAGACTATGTCTTTGCAAGCAATCCAATCACTGAATTGTCCCATATGTTTCAGCAGCCCAGATCACTGGTCACTAAGGCACCTGGCCCACCTCAACCTACCTAGATCACCTAATTAGCTTACTTGACACTCCTTTCACTGTCTCACTTGGCCCACCCCAGACTACTTGCATATCCCTACCACTCCTTAATCCACCAAGATCACCTATTTAGCCTACTTGATATTCCTTTCACTGTTGCACCTGGCCCACCCCAGACTACTTACCACTCCTTAATCCCATCCAGATCCTTTCACTGTCCCTTTTGCATATTAAGCATCAGCACCCTCTTCATCAATTTGCAGGTTCTCTAGGAGTCCTGCCTGCTTCTATTGGTTTTACTCCCTGACTAGAAGAAGATTTGAATGCGTGAATATTGTCCTATACTCTGACATTTCAGGGATCCCAGCAATCCTAAACCACGTCACCAAACATAATACACCTAATACCTAGGCTATAGATTTGTGCAATATAGGTTAATAGAAATTCATCCAAGAAATATTCCAGAAATGAAAGGGACTGAAGATATGAACTAGTCCAGAGGAAAGTACAGAATAGGGAGATATTGCTCATGCAATCTATAGTACAGTAAAGCAAAAGTCACTGCAAGTTGAGGTGGGGGAAGAGGATTTAAATCCATTTCCTCTCCCCAGCCCACAGGCAGAAATGAAAATGGTGGGAAAAGATTCTACAAAAAGTAAGTACAAGCACTTTGTGAATAAAAAAAAGGAGGAAAAGAGAGGCAGAAAAAGCCAGAAGAAACAGAAAATGACAAATGATAGGACAAAGGAAAATGTAAGAAAAAGTCCATTTAGAACAGAAAGAAAAAGTGCTAAATGAGAAAGAAAGGGATAGATAGAGACAGAGAAAAAGACAGAGGTACGCACAGAGAGATAAAGGGAGAAAGACAAAGACAGAGATCCAAATATTCCAAATATATAAAGGGAAAGAAAAAATAGAGGCATAGAAACTTGAAAAGGAATCAGAGGCCATACGAAAAAATGATAAAGTTTTAGTTTACTTAAATTATTTTTTAAATTGAAAGAGCATATCTACAAATAGAAATACATGAACTCTTTCTGCATTCTCTTCTTTTGAACAAGTATAATGCAACTAAGTAGGCTGGCCAGGGAATGCAAGTCTTGACCACTGGCTTCTATGTTTCAATCTACATCCTAAAGTTTAGGGAACACAAACCCTGGTAACAGAGAACTTGGATTAAAAAATGTTCTAAATCACTACTAATTAGAGAAATGCAAATTAAAACAACTCAGAGGCATTACCACACACCTATCAGATTGGCTAATATGACAGAAAAACGAAATGATAAATTCTGAATGAGATGTAGGAAAATTGAGGCAAGAATGCACTGTTGGTCAAGGGTGAATTGATTCAAACATTCTAGAGAGCAATTTGGAACTATATCCAAAGGGATACAAAACTGTGTGTATCCTTTAGACCCAGTCATACCACCACCAGGTCTTTATCCCAAAGAGATAAAAAGCAAAAAGGAAAACAACATGTGGCAAAGACTTGGAAATTTAGGAAATGCTCATTAATTGGGGAATGGCTGCACTAATTGTGGTATATGATTGTGAGGGAATACTATTGTATCACCCAATTGATGAGTATCCCCTCAATTTCCAAATCTTTGTCACCACAAAAGAGCTGCTATAAATATTTTTTGTAGTTGTGGGTCCTTTCCTTCTTTTTTTTTTATTTCTTTGGGATACAGATCTGGTAGTGGCATTGCTGGATCAAAGGGTATGCACAGTTTTATAGCCCTTTAGACATAGTTCCAAATTGCTCCCCAGAATGGTTGATCAGTTCACAATTTTACCAACAATGCATTAGTGTTCCAATTTTCCCACATCTTCTCCAACATTTATCATTTTCCTATTTTGTCATATTACTCAATCTGATAGCTGTGATGTGGTACTTCAGAGTTGTTTTGATTGCATTTCTCTAATCAATATTGATTTTGAGCATTTTTTCCTTTGATTATGGATAGCTTTAATTTCTTTCTCTGAGAACTGCCTGTTCATATCCTTTGGACATTTATCAATTGAAGAATGACTTGTATTATAAATTTAACTCAGTTCTCTATATGTTTTAGAAATGAAGTCTTTATGAGAAACACTGGCTGTAAAAAATGTTCCCCAGCTTTCTGTTTTCCTTCTAATCTTGGCTGCATTGGTTTTGTTTGTGCAAAAAAAATAATTTAATGTAATCAAAATTATCCAACATCATAATGTTGTCTCTTTTGTTTGGTCATAAATTTTCCCCTTCCTCATAGATCTGACAGGCAAACTATTCCTTGCTCTCTTAATTTGCTTATGGTATCATCCCTTATGTCTAAATAATGTACCCATTTCAACCTTATTTTGGTATAGGCCCTATCATAGGGTGTGAGATGTTGTTCTATACTCAGTTTCTGCCATACTGATTTCCAGTTTTCCCAGAAGTTTTTGTCAAATAGTGAGTTCTTATCCCAGAAGATGGAGTCCTTGGGTTTATCCAACAGTAAATTACTGCAATCACTTACTACTGTGTCTTGTGAACCTAACCTATTCCACTGATCCACCACTCTTATTTCTTAGCCAGTACCAAATAATTTTGATGAATGCCACTTTAGAATATAGTTTTAGATTTGGAATGGCTAGGTCACCTTTCTTTGCATTTTTTTTTTTACCATTAATTCCCTTGATATTCATGGCCTTTTGTTCTTCCAGATGAGTTTTGTTATTATTTTTTCTAGCTTTACAAAATAATTTTTGGTAGTTTGACTATGGTAGTATGGTACTGAATAAGTAAATTTAGGTAAAATTGTCATTTTTATTATATTAGATCAGACTACCATTGAACTACTGATGTCTTTCCAATTCCTCACATCTGATTTTATTCCTGTGAAAAATGTTTTGCAATTATGTTCATATAGTTCACGCATTTGTCTTAACATGTAGATTCCCAAGTATTTCATATTGTCTACAGTTATTTTAAATGCAATTTATCTTTCTATCTCTTGCTTCTGGATATTGTTGATAATATATAGAAATACTGAATATTTATATGTGTTTATTTTATACCCAGCAAACATTTTTAAAGTTGTTAATTATTTCAAGTAGTTTTTTAGTTGATTTTCCAAGTATACCATCATATCATCTACAAACCATGCTACTTTTGTTTCCTCATTGCCTATTTTAATTTCTTCAATTTCTTTTTCTTCTCTTATTGCTAAAGCAAACACTTCTAGTACAATATTGAACAATAGCAAAATGGGCATCCTTGTTTCACCCCAATCTTATGGGGAATGCTCCTAGCTTATCCTTATTACATATAATTCTTGTTGATGGTTTTATATAGATACTACTTACCATTTTGAAGAAAACTTCATTTAATCCTATGTTCCCTAGTGTTTTCTAATAGTAATGGGTGCTCTATTTTGTCAAAAGCTTTTTCTGTACCATATTTGTGTCATAAAAGGAATTTGGTAGGACTCTTTTTTGCCTATTTTTCTAAATAGTTTATATGCTATTGGAATTAATTGTTCTTTAAATGTTTGGTAGAATTCAGTTGTGAACCCATCTGGTCCTGGAGAATTTTTACTCAGGGAGTTCATTGATGATTTTTTCAACTTAGGTATTTTATTTCCTCTTCTGTCAATCTGGGCAATTTATATTTTTCTAAATATTCCTCTATTTCACTTAGATTGTCAGATTTATTCAGACACAGTTGGGCATAATAGCTCCTAATTATTGCTTTAATTTCCTCTTCATTGGTGGTAAATTCACCCTTTTCATTTTTGATACTGGTAATTTGGTTTTCTTCTTTCTTTTTTAAATAAAATTAACCAAAGGTTTATTTATTTTATTGTTTTTTCCCCATAAAACCAACTCTTAGTTTTTCTTATTAGTTTAATAGTTTTCTTACTTTCAATTTTATTAATCTCTCCTTTGATTTTAAGAAATTCTAATTTGGTATTTAGTTGTGGATTTTTAATTTGTTCTTTTTCTAGCTTTTTTAATTGCATGTGCATTTCTTTGATCTCATCTTGCTCTATTTTGTTCATGTACAAATTTAGAGATACAAATTTTCCCCTAAGAACTCCTTTGGCTGCATCCCATATATTTTGAAATGCTGTCCCATTATTATGAGTTTGGTATGTTGTCTCATTATTGTCATTCTCTTGGATGAAGTTATTGATTGTTTCTATGATTTGTTGTTTGAACCACTCATTCTTTGGGTTTAGATTATTTAGTTTCCAATTAGTTGTTAGCCTCTCTTTCCATAGCCCTTTATTACATATATTTTTTGTTACATCATGATTTGAAAAGGATGCATTTAATATTTCTGCCCTCCTGTATTTGATTGTTAGGTTTTTATGCCCCAGTACACAGTCAATTTTTGAGAAGGTGCCATCTACTACTGAGAAAAAGGTATATTCCTTTCTATCCCCATTAAATTTTCTCCAGAGGTCTATCATATTTAACTTTTCTAAAATCCTATTCACCTCTCTAGCTTCTTTCTTTTTTATTTTGTGGCTAGATTTAACTAGTTCAGAGAGGGAGAGGTTGAGGTCTGCCACTAGCATAGTTTTGCTATCTATTTCTTCCTCTAACTCACCTAACTTCTCTAAGAATCTGGATGCTATACCACTTGGTGCATATACGTTTAATATTTATATTATTTCATTGTCTATGGTTCCTTTTAGTAGGATGTAGTTTCCTTTCTTATATCTTTTAATTAGATCTATTTTTGCTTCTGCTTTGTCTGAGATCAAGATTGCTATGCTTGTTGTTTTGTTTTTTCTTTTTTTTTTACTTCAGTTAAAGTATAAAACATTCTCCTCTAGTCTTTTACTTTTACTCTGTGTGTGTCTCTCTTCCTCAAAAGTGTTTCTTGTAAACAACATATTGTAGAATTCTCACTTTTAATACACTTTGCTATTCACTTCTGTTTTATGGGGGAGTTCATCTTATTCACTTTCACAGTTATGATTATTAACTGTGAATTTCCCTCCATCCTATTCCCCCACCTTGTTTATACTTTTCTCTCTCCTTCACCAGTGTTTTGCTTCTGATCACCACCTTCCTCAGTCTGCTGTCCTTTCTGTTAGTCTCCCCTCCCTTTTCTTTCCCCTTTCTCCATCTACTTCTGCCCTCCCTTCTACCCTCTCTTCTATTACCCCTCCCTTTTCCTTTGTCTCCCCTTCTACTTCTTTATAGGACAAGATAAATTTCTATACCTGAGTGAGTATGTTATTCCTCCTTTGAGCCAAATCTGATGGGAGTAAGGTTCAAAAAATTCTCACCCCTTTCCTTTTCTCTCTCTACTGTAATTGGTCTTTTCTGCTTCTTCATGTTATGTAATTTACCCTATTCTGCCTCCCCCTTCCTCTTCTCTGAATACAATTCTTTTTTTTACTCTTAGTTTTTTTATGTAGTCACTTAAAGTCAACTTATATCCACACCCTTTGTCTACATATACTCCTTCTAACTGCCCTAATAGAGATACAGTTCTGAAGAGTAACAAGTATCATCTTCCGATCCAATCCAATCCAATCCAACCTTAATGAATACAATATTTTTTTTCTTTCCTGTTTGCCTTTTTATGCTTCTCTTGAGTTTTGTATTTGAAGATTAAATATTCTGTTCAACTCTGTTTTTTTTCATGAGGAATGATTGAAAGTTCCCTATTTCACTGAATTTCCATCTTTCCCCTTGAAAGATTATGCTCAGTTTTTCTGGGTAGTTGGTTCTTGGTTGTAATCCAAGGTCCTTTGCTTGGAATATCAAATCCCAAGCCCTCAAGTCCTTTAATGTAGAAACTACTAAGTCCTGTGTAATCCTGACTGTGGCTCCATGGTATTTAAATTGTTTCTCTCTGGCTTCTTGCAGTATTTTCTCCTTGACCTGATAATTTTGGAATTTGGCTACTATATTCCTAGGAGTTTTCATTTTGGGATCTCTTTCAGGAGGTGATAGGTGGCTTCTTTTAACCATTATTTTACCTTTTGGCTCTAGGCTATCAAGGCAGTTTTCCTTGAAAGATGTTGTCAGTCCATTAATTCTTAAATTAAATAATGTTTCAATGTATCTCCAACCTTTATTGGGTGCCTCTTGGGCTTATTTTCAGGCCAATTATGGTTAAAAGGACTTGATTGTAGACACATCAGTGGCATATACAGGGGGGAGCAGATAGAAAGCAGTCAGATTTATACCAGCAGCTAATCTTTTCATTCTTCAATTAGGTGTTTACCCTAATGGTTTTAGGAATGATAGAAACGAAGTGTCTGGCCTAGTCAAAAAGAATGGAGCCAGAGTGCTTTAAGTTATGGTAGGGGAGGATATATTTAAGGAGGAATGAATGCTGATTCCAGGCATCAAGTCTCTGAGATAGAAAAATAATACAATAATATTTGGAGTCTTTGGTTTAGTAATTCAAAGGGAAAAAGTTTCAGCTGTGTCAGTAAGGGACGTTTTTTTTTGTGGGATAGAGGTGAGGAAGGGAGGCATATAGATATATATCAGGAAGGAACTATGATTTCAGCGAAGGGTTTCTGATATTGATCATTATAAGGGATGATATATGTGAGAATTATGCCTATGATTTAACTGAGGTAAATAGAGGTTAAGTAACTTGTCACACATCACACAACTAGTCAGATGTAGTATGGAACTTTTCTTTCTGACTCAAAGCACCATAATCTTTTCACACTGATGCTTCTAAGAAAGGAAAACAAGTCAAAATTCATAATTTTCTGTCACATATAGTATTCTAGCAGCAAATCTGCTATTTTGAGTACCAGCAGTTGAGGCAGTATGAAAAAGAAAAGGTTTATCTACTCTTTTTACAGAACTATCAGAATCTATATTCAAAGATGCTTCTCTGAGACATTCGTTTGTTCTGAGTATTAGATTCATCTGCACATTAAATCTCTGCATTCTCCTTGAAGTGTTTTTTTTTCCCTTTTTTGTCTCTTGAAATTTCATGTATATATTAGAAATAGATAATATTTAATTTGATAAATAAAATGCAGCATTTAAACAAAAAAAATTTCTGGAGATTACCTGATATTTGGGAAAAAAATTATGACCTCAGAGGGTTGGAGAACACAAAACACATAGACTAATTATGTATGGTTATGTGCATGTATTTATGTATGTATGTATATATATATGTATTTATAGATACACATATGTGAGTATGTATGTGTACATATGCATATCTCAGTGGCTAAGTTGCTTTTGTGTTATCCCCATTCTTGAGACTATTTATTAGTCTTCAGCTGTTAAGGCACTATTAATATCCATAGATTAACTAGTATAATACTTCTCTGCTAACACAGAATCCCTATTACTCTAGCTTGTCAGTTGTAAGAGATTTGACCACATTTAAATAATTTTTTAAAGAACTGAAAGTCAGAAAAATGCAACAAAGAAATAAATTTAATTCAAGAAATATCAATTGAATGACTAACATAGGTAGAACATTATCCTGAGAGGGTGGGCAATGGGTCCATTGGGTAAGGGGAGAAAATAAATAAACCAATAAATAAGATAGCCCATGTTTTCACAGAACTTTTATTTTACTATGGAAGAAGTTAGACTTATACAGAAATAATTGGAATTCAATTGAACTGTGAAAGTGCATGAAAAGAGAATTATTTCCCATCCAATTACTTTCCTGGACTTCATCATGTCTAGAAACTCATCACTCTGTAAGATGAAAACCGTTCATTAACTCAGAAACCTTCTCAGATAATTTCTCACCTTGGCTATATGACTTCATGATGCCTCTGAGTTGGGTAAATTCCTCCACCTTCCCTTCAGCTTCTTTTTACATGTTGTCTTCTTCATTAAATTGTGTGCTCCTCGAGGGAAAATTATGTCTTATACCTTTCTTTGTGTCTCCAGTGCTTAGTGTAGTGTCTGGCATATAGTAGATGCTTAATAATTGATTATTGGCTCTTTAAAAAAAGTTCATGATAAGTGTAAGGGTCAGTCTAGACAATTTCCCCACCTCATATAAAGTAAATGATAAGATGCTGTCTTATCCTTACCAAATAAGAACATATCTGAGTCAATCAGAGACTTTAGATGAAGCAGAAAAATCCTTGAAAGCTATTAGAGGAATTATAGAGACATTGAAAGGAAGTATGTTCTGAATGGTTGAGAAACTTGGTCATGCCCTGAGGGGCTTATCTAAAATGAGGAACTAGTTCATAGCCCAAGAGGTTAGAATGAGTGGACAGCCAAGAAAAAGTACATTTAGCCAATTTCCTAAGAAGGAGTTGAATGTGCAGGAGGAAAACACCAATGTTTCCCCAGCCTCCATTTACTAGAGGAGTATCTTATGAAATCTGGAAGGTTGGAAGAATTGCATTTCTCATTGGCATCCTTCCAGTGTCCCTGGGACAGGAGCAGCTGTCAGCATTGTCTGTATTGGAAGCCAAGTATACATGCATGCCATGTTTTATTGTGGTTTGTGGATATTGTGTTGGGTTTTTTTGTTTGTTTGTTTGTTTTTACAAATTGAAGATCAGGGCAACCCTGCATTGAGCAAGTTTATCAGCACAATTTTTCCAATATGTGCTCATGTCAAGTCTCTGTGTTGAATTTTGGTAATTCTCACAATATTTTAAACTTTTTTGATATTATTGCATCTTTTATGATGATCTATAATCAGTGATCGTTAATGTTAGTGTTGTAGTTATTTTGGGGAGCCGTGAACCACACCCACATAAGAAGGTGAACTTAACAAATTTGGTGCGTATTCTGACTGCTCCCCTGACAAGCCATTCCTCAACTTCTTTTCCTCTCCTCAGGCCCCCTTATTCCCTGAGACTCAACAATATCAAAGAATATTACATAAACTTAGTTGAAAAAGGAGTGGAACAGTTTGAGAGTATTAACTCTAATTTTGAAAGAAGTCCTACTGAGGGTAAAATGCTATCAAACAGCATCATGTACTACAAAAAAATCTTTTAGGAAAGGAAAAGTCAACAGATGCAGCAAACTTCATTGTTTTCATATTTTAAGAAATTGCCACAGTCACCCTTACCTTTGGCAACCTGATTAGTCAGCAGCCATCAACATTAAGGCAAGACCCTTCAACTGCAAAAAGATTATGACTCACTGAAGGCTCAGATGATGGTTTGCAGTTTTTTAGAAATGAAGTATTTTATACATAATATATACATTTATATAAATATTATATATTTTAATATATTTTATAATATTTATTTATATTATTAAATATTTGTAATAAATATTATATATATATATATATTTAGACATAATATTATTGCACACTTAATAGACTACAACAGGCTTGCACAACCTGCCTCCCAATGAAGGATTTCGGACAGCCCTCAAAAAATGAAGAGGAAAACATTCTTACATTGTTCGTGAGCCTTTGACTGGCCACAGACTGTGCAGACCTAGACTACAGTATAGTGTAAATATAAAATTTATATGTAGTGGGAAACAAAAAAAAAATGTGTGACTTGCTTTACTGCAATATTTAATTTAATATGGTGGTCTGGAACCAAACCTGGAAGATCTCTGAGCTATGCCTGTAGACTGGATGTAATGAGAAAATGCAGATTCAAGGCTTCACCAAGAACCCAGAAGAAAAGCTGTCACATACCTAAAGGCAACTAATTGAATACCTTATCAAGGAGAGAAAAGGATTTACAGTTGCTTTGTGCCCTTTGCCACACAAATGATCCCTATTTGTGAGTGCACTTTCTCTGAACATCTTTTTGGGAGACTGTTTTCCAAGTTTGGGGAGATGTTTTATCCCAACTATACCATCATAATAAATACCTGTCTAAAAGCTTAGTTTCACTTACTAATTCACACCAATGATAATCATTGAGGATCTTGAGCTATAGCAACAGTTATAGCTGGATGGTAGGGAGAAGCCCTAGACTAGTAGTAAACCTGTAAGAATCTTAAAACTTCAAAAAGGCAGGGCAATTAGGTAGCACAGTGGATAGAGCACCTTGGATACAGGAGGACCTGAGTTCAAATCCAGCCTCAGACACATAACACTTACTAGTTGTGTGACCCTGGGCAAGTCACTTAACTCCATTGCCCAAAAAAACCCAAACTTTAAAGTGCCTTCACTTTCTCTTCTCTCACTCTCTTCTTTTCCCTTTACTGGCTTCCATTTTCATTACTATTCCATTGACCTTACTTTCTCCAAAGTTACTAATGATGTCTTAATTGCCAAATCCAATGGCCTTTTCCTAATCTTCATTCCCCTCTACATCTCTACAGCCTTTGATGCTGTTGGTATTTTTTTCCTCCATGATACTCTTTTCTCTCTAGGTTTTTGGATCACCTCTCTTTCCTAGTTTTCCTCTTATTTATCTAACCACTACTCCTCTGTCTTCTTTTCTGTATCATCCTCAACATCATGCCCTTTAAATTTAGGTGTCCCTGAGAGTTCTGTCCTAGGCCCTCTCTTCTCCCTTTTTTAACACTTCACTTGATGATCTCGTTAGCTCCCATGAATTTAATATTTTTATGGTGATGATTCTCAAATGTATTTTTTCCCAATCTAATCTGTCTACTGACCTCCAGCCTTGCATTTTCAACCGCCTTTAAAACATTTTGAACTGGATGTCCAGTAGATAGATTTTCTCCTAAACCCTTCCCCACTCCTAGTTTTCCGATTACTGGAGAGAGAAACTGCATCCTCCTAATTTCTTAGGGTAACAACCTAGGAATCATCCTGAATTCCTCACTACCTCTCTCCACCTCCACATCCAAACTGTTGCCAAGGTCTGTAGATTTCACCTTTACAACAGCTCTCAAATATGCTCTCTTCTCTCTTTTGACACTGACACCCTTCTAGTACAAGCTTTCATCAACTCATGCCTTGATTATTACAATAGTCTGCTTGTGTGTTTGCTTGCCTCAATTCTCTCCCCATTCTAATCCGTTTCCCATTCAGCCACTAAAGTAATTTTCCTAAAATGCAGGTCTAATCATGTCACTCTCCTACTCAATAAACTCCAATGGTTTCCTATTGATCCCGGAGCAAATACAGAATGCTGTGGCATTCAAAGACCTTCACAACCTAGCTACCTCCTATCTTTCCAATCTTTTAAGCTAAAGATTCAAGATTTCTTCAAACTATTTCTAGGAGACTTTAATATTGTGTTATTTCCAGCATGGATTTCTTCAGTCTGTACTTTGTTATAACAGCTCTCCCTGGCTTCATATTTATAAACACCTGTACTGCTGTGCACATAGTACATTGGGTATACTGGTAGAATATAAATATGGCAGCCTCACTATCATTTCTGATGAGTGGAAGTAGTTTTTCCAAGTAGTTAATTCTTTTAAATATTTTTGGGAAATTTATGTTTTTTTCTGAATCCTGAATCTGAGAAAAATAAGTTTGGAATTTGGAGAAAATTATTTGGATTTTCCAGTGAGAATCCTAAAGATACTGTTGGTTAGACGGAGTCCATTGACGTTATGGTGAAAGTAAGATCAAGAAATGTTGACCCTTAGAGTCAAAGGTGAAAATTGACACTTCTGGGAACTAGGAAGAAGCATGTAGGAGAGAAGCAGCCACTATCTAATCAGTTTTGCTTCTAACTGTTGCCGTATTGTAAGTGTGTATACAAGGTCCTGTATGCCTGTAGCAGTGAGTCATTCTTGCAAATAAAAAAATATTAATAAGTTTATGCACATAGTATACTTTATACAAATCTGTTAGTGGTGTTCCAAGATATTACAAGTTTTGGATGCAAAATAATTCTTCAAGTTAGCAATTTTACACATGATTCTCTGTAGTGCTGTTAACCTTGTTAGGAGATTTGAATGTTAGGTTACATAATACCTAATAATGCTCTTGAGCATTTGCCAGTGCTTGAATATTCTACAATTCTTTGTAAATACTACTAAACTTACTGATTCTTATTTGTTAAAATTTTTATATATCCATATTAATGAGTGAAGAATACAAGGAATGTTGGAAATATTTTAAGAAAAAAATAAAGGTAATCAGTTGTGTCATTGCCATCTATGTTTTAAATCATTATCATAATATATTGATTCAGGGTAACAGTAAACTATGTATTTATTATTACATTAGTTTTTCACAGAAAATTTCTTTTAACTTTTAGTAACTTTTAGTCCGTAACCTTATAACAGAAAAATGATTCACCATTTGCTATTATAAGTACTCATTGTTATTTAAATAATAATGAATAAAATATCATGAAAAAAACTTATTACTTCTAGGTTTCCCAAGAAGTCCCTGGAATTTCCATTTTTCATTCCCAAATCCAACAGATTAATATATATTGAGAATTTAGAAACACAATCATATGTCACTAATTAAATGGTGGCAGATTCATTCCTTTTTGTTTTCTTTGCTGTTCTCCCTTTAGCTTCATCTTCAAGTACGATCTTATGATAACAGTTTAAGTCAGTTTTGCACAAAATTCCTTTTCTCTTTGTTTGTTTTCCATTGATTTGTGAGGCACTATTATTCATAATTTTCTATCATCTTACTCCATAATATTTTGCAAATGAACTTGTACTCTAAACTGTTGTTGTTCTAGCCTGTTTCATCTCTATGATTGGTAAAAACAGAATATTTGTTGCTTGAAGTAATTCCTGGATTATATTAGCTTTATTATTATGGTTAGTTTTGGTTATCTAAATTTCTTAGAGAAATCTAACTAATAAAAACTGGCCATCCTTCTAAATATTGTGCTGGTACACATTAAGTCTCAGGTTGAAAAGGTGTGTGTCTAAAATGGAGGTACATGTGGAAATGTTTGGATCACTTCATATGTATAAAGGATATCATATTTGTTGCCTTCTCAACAGGTTGGAGAGGGGGTGGGAAAGAATTTGGAATTGAAAAATGAAAATAAGTTAAAATAAAATAGAGGTGCAAAGGGGTTTGGGTTGGGGGGATTCCTGGTTTTAGAAAGCAAATAATAAAAAAAAACTAAAAATGAAAACACATACTAACAAAACTCAGGAGTCATTTTTATGTGTTTTTACATGCTCATAGCAATTTTTAAAATACAAAAAAAGGATCTATCACTAATAAATATAACAAAATAATCAAAATGAAGACTTTAGAGAAATACCATTTATTTAAAAAATCTTTTAATGTAGTAAGAACTAAGTAGGAATATGTGAACCATAAAAATAATAATTGTGAGCCCATTTTGAACATAATCTCAATCAGCAAGATGCCACTGCTTTTCCAGATTCCCTAATGGGGCCTTGCTAATTCCTTGCCAAAACTAGCAGTGAGTTTCTTCCTTTTAATCTCCCCTAATGCCTTATTCTATTATTGTCACTGCTCTCTCACCATGCAATGTCCCTTCAAACCCTCATTTTCCAACTGAGCCAGTCAGAGAAGCCTGAGTGGTGGTGGTGAAGAAGTCTAAGACTACAAACTCCCTAAAAAGAAGGGGAAGGAAAAAGAAGAGGGGTATCTCCTTGTACACTCCCCTCAAACTCTTCCTCAGCAGCTTCTTTATCCACTGAATTACTGGGTTGAAGAGAATAAAAATAAGGGATATGTAAGGTCTTTGGAGCATTGCTGCAGTAGACTGGTAGAGGAGGGTGGGAAAGGGGAAGCCCCCACACAGTACAATGCGCTGCAGGAGGCCCTCGCTTCTGAAGTGGCTGTGCATCATTGTATGGTAAGTGCTTCCTCTACCCCAATTCCTCTCTTTCCTTACAATAGCAGAATGGAGAAGGAAAAAACCATGTTCTAGGTTCCTGATCAAATGAAATAAACAGATGGGGTGGGAGTGCGGGTAGGTGGGCCACATAGAATGTTGCCTTTATCTGCAGCCTGGACAATTCCCTGGGTGATTCTATGTATGAAGGAAACCTCTACTCAAAGAATATCAGCAGGATATTGGACAACCTGTTAGACGGCTATGACAACAGGCTTCGACCAGGATTTGGAGGTAAGAGGGGATGAACTTTGACCACTCTTTGTTCTCAAACAATCTCCTTCTTCTTCCTTTTTTGTCCTTCCATGACCACACTATTTGCAAGGGAGCTTTAACTGATTTCTATTCAAGTTTTTATTTATTCAGTCACATCTTGCACAGCTTGGGCAAATCCAGGAGCCTGGCTCACCTTGAATCTTTTAGTCTGGACTGGCATAAGTGAATTTTCACAACTGAATGGAACTAAGGATTCCTAGGAAAGAAAAGAATCAGGGAATGGTGGGCATGCTGAGTGCAGGATGTAGCTGGATTTTTTTTGTGTAGCCCTAAGGAAATTTCCTAAATATTATTCAGATGGGTAGGGTGTGAGGGAAAAAAAAAAACTTCACTCTTCTTCACCTTCATCTTAGGTGCTGTTACTGAAGTGAAAACAGATATTTATGTGACAAGCTTTGGTCCTGTGTCTGATGTGGAGATGGTAAGTGTAGTTGGAGCTCTAAGTGCTCCAGGATATCCTATGCTAAAGGATTTGTTCTTCAGAGAGTAAGAGTAAAGACCAGAAATCATGGGGTATACCTACTATTTCCATTTAACTGTTGCTGTAGGTCCATGATACAGGATTAGTTTATGTATGCCCAATGCCTAGCATTATGAAAGTGATTAATGGATATTTGCTGAATTGAATTGGATTGGAATATTTCCCATCATATTGGAAGTGGGGCTATTTTTTAGACTAGATTGTTGGATTTAATCTCCTAGACAATCTCATTAAGGGGCCAAGTTTAAACAATTTAGAAGTCACTTTCTCAAGACTTTAGTCCTTCCTCCTTGAAGGAAACCCAAACAAAAAAGGTGGCTAAAATTTCATTTCTGAGTGAAAAGGTGGGCATTATCGGATTGGGTGAAGGATACTAAGAATCCAAGTGTATAACAATGAGATTGAGGAAGCATTTAAGGTTTATGGCATAGCTACCTTTTGAATTCCAACACAGAAGATTTCATTCAATGTCATAGGGAACTACTCAGAAAGGCATGATGCAGTCAATAATTCACTTTATGTATAGACCAGTAGGTATTGGAGAGACATATTTATGGTAAATGGCACTAAAACTCTAAACAAACCCTCAGGAATTAAGTACTTTCTGGTGTTCTTTGGATGTCCTCAAGTAACATTTTAACCCATCCATTAGAACAACATCAAAGACCACCCATAATCATCCTCAAATTGCCCCCTGAATAGCTATGTTTTGTATGCTGTCTTTCTTGTCTTTCTGCTTTTAGCATCAACAATTAGAAATAGAGGAAGGACAAGAATCTGAGATTTGAGAGAATTCCGCTTTGGGACTGACTGCCTGCAGGAGTATGGGGAGCTTGCATTACCCAGAACCTTAATGGTTTTTAATAACATGAAAATGCAGCATATATTTGTTGAACCTTAGTAATGTTGGCAATTGCTGTGTATTTCTACTGTGCTATTATTACAAACTTGACTGGTTGAGGGGTAGGGGAGGGGTGGTCAGACGGGAGGCCTAGAACTTTTCCCTGGGATTTTTTCTCTGCAAAGTACATCTGTACTCTTGAATCTCACCACTAGGACCCAGAGCTTGACTGCATAGATTCAGACCATGTTTGTCATATTGTCTAACCCAAATAGACAAATACCGGTAGTAAAATCCAGAGATAAAAAGGGAGCTGGGAAATCAGATGCATATTTCCTGAAGTCTTAGGGAAAAAAAGAAATATTATCTCTCAGTAAACATATTCTGATACATTCACTTACATATTTTCAAAGTACCTAGCATATTATTTTTAAAGACAAATTTTAATGAGCTATAAATTAGTTACAAATAATTTTAACTATACATGTAAGAGATATCATTCTTGACTAGACACTGGAATATTGGAGTTAATAATGCATTTTGAGAACTACCTAACCAAACTTTGATCTGAGGATAAAAAGTCACTTGGCAAAGTTTAGCTACCCTCAAGGCATCACTGAATGGTGAGACCACACTCCTGTACCCATTTAATAGATGATTAAATGCCAAGAGAAGATATAAGATGCATTAAGACTAGATGAACACTCTGAACCTAGAATAGAATAAATTTTTTTAAGTTATGTTCTCCATTAGAATGACGGAGATGAAGATAAATATGGAGATTGGGATAGAGAGAGATGGAAATGGATATTGAGATGTGGATGTGGATGGGGAAGGAGTTGGACACATAGGTGGGGATGGGGAAGGAGGTGATTTGAAAGAGAGAGAGAGACAGAGAGAGGCAGAAAGACATTGAGAGACACACACACAGAGGTTTTTTAGTTGAGAGAATTGTTTTCGTGTTAGGTTATTTATAACTATTTTTCTGCTCGTGAACAGGGTTAACAATATAACAAATATTCCAGGAAACAAGAAGAATAATGATGCAATAAGATCAAAGCATTTTGAAGGCTATTTCCCCAAAGAGTGGCTGTCTTCCAGTTATCCCTTAAAGGAAATAAGATTTGACATTAAAGCTGTGAATGAAAGGTGTTTAACAAATTAGTAGGCAGCTCAGTGACTGTTTTGCCTTATCACAGGAATACACGATGGATGTTTTCTTCCGTCAGACATGGACTGATGAAAGGCTGAAGTTCAGGGGCCCATCTAAGATTCTAAGTTTGAATAATTTGATGGTCAGTAAAATCTGGACACCTGATACTTTTTTTAGGAATGGAAAAAAGTCCATTGCTCATAATATGACAACCCCAAACAAGCTCTTCCGTATCATGCAGAATGGAACTATTCTCTACACAATGAGGTGAGCTTTGAACAGTTACACTTCCTCAGTCCTCATGGCCTTCTAGATAACAATATCACAGCATACCCTTTTTCAATGTGTTTTAGACTTACCATCAATGCTGACTGCCCCATGAGATTGGTTAACTTTCCTATGGATGGGCATGCTTGTCCACTGAAGTTCGGGAGCTGTAAGTCTTAAAAACCTCACGTATGCAAATAGCTTATTCAACCTAAGTTATTATTTGAGTAACTAAATCTGTATCCCAGGAAGCTGGAAAGGAGTATCACTATAAAACACACAAACAACTTGCAGCTCTTTGTGATTCTTTCAGTATGATTCAGGGAGCATAATTAATTCATCACGTCTTCTGTGTGTATGTAGTGATGCAGGTTCTAAGAAACATTTTTTTAGCTACCCACATAAAATGACAATGACAGCTCAGTTTGTTTCAATTGCATATCCTTCCTTACATAAAATGAAACAAAAATGGCTTATGTTGATAGGAGAAAAATACTAAGATTCATTACTATGCTTTATCTGTTCTTAAAATTCAGATGCTTACCCCAAAAGTGAGATCATCTATACATGGAAAAAGGGACCTCTTTATTCTGTAGAAGTTCCTCAAGAATCCTCAAGCCTCCTACAGTATGATCTGATTGGGCAGACTGTGTCTAGTGAGATAATAAAGTCCAATACAGGTAAGAATCTGGACCATGGGGTGGCAGCCCTCACCTGCTAACCAGACCACAGTTTTCCAATAGTCTATCTTGTTGATATTACTTTAACTATTTATTATTCCTTAGCTGAACTTGCCCTCCTGAAAGTTCCAGAAAGATCTGCTCAAAATTGATTTCTCCACTAGGTGTGTAGATGTATGCAGTCTGGCTTGACCTTGAAGGATGCTGCTTTTGTCAGTACGTGATAAAAATATCCAAAGAATAAATGGATGCACTTCTTGTACTATCAAATGATCAGGTCTCCCTCCCCGCCTTTTTTGTGCATTGAACTTTTTCCATCTTTTTTTTCCCCTCTTAGGACATGCTAATTTAAAATCCTGTTTGATTTACTTTAAGCTTCCTTCTTTTGCATGGTGTCAACAACAATAACCCTGACATACGTATCTCCTTGCAGGTGAATATGTAATCATGACAGTTTATTTCCACTTGCAAAGGAAGATGGGATATTTCATGATACAGATATACACTCCCTGCATTATGACAGTCATTCTATCTCAGGTGTCTTTCTGGATTAATAAGGAGTCTGTGCCTGCTAGAACTGTTTTCGGTATGCCTTACTGTCTCTGCCTTCATACCATTTATCCATCACCTCACATCCTTTCTACATTTTAATTGAATATTCATGGCAATTGCTTTTTTTTGCCATCAATCAATGAAAAACTGATTCCTGTCTTATTCAGAGAGAATGCCCACTCACCATGACCCTCATCCAAGTTATGTTCTTGACCAGCTAGGGGACTGTTTCTCAAAGAATGGTGGCTAGTGTTCTTCCTGGGTCCTAGCTTGCGTTCCAAATTGGATCTGAAGAAATGAAATAAAGAAAAGAAGATAGGTCTGAACGTGGAATTTAAAAGACCCTTAAACAAGGGAGTAACATAACAAAATATGGGGAATATAGTTCTGAGATAAGGGTAAACCCTTCCTTTCCCCCACCCCATTCTGTAACTCCAGCTCTATATAAACTATATATAGTTTATGTCCATTGATTGCATCTGAAAGAGCAAAATGAAATTACCATGACTAAAAGATCCAACATTGTTGTAAAAATTAAAATACAAACATATAAAACACACATAAATAAAAAATATGATGCATAAGTTAAATAATAACTTAATTTCCCCAGCACTACACATTTTGCAAGGTCCTTTCATAGACATCCAACGCTTTCATAATTACCTCATTTTATTTTTCAGTATAAGCCTATAAGCTCAGTCAGTCAATCAGGAGGCATTTATTGAGCACCTACTATGTTCCAGGAATTGTGATAAGAGCTGAAGATACAAAGAATGATAAAAGACAGTCCCTACTCTCAAGGAATTCAGAGTGCAAAAGGGGAGATAGCTTCAAAATAGCCAGGTACAAACAAGATAGACAGGATAAATTGGATATAATCAACAAAGGGATGTAAGAATAATAAAAGCAACAACAACTAATTGTGTTAAATACCTACTGTTTTACAAGCACTGTGCTAGGCATGAGGAATAGAAAAGCAAAAATTAAATAGTTCCTGCACTAAAGGAGCTCCCTTTAAAAGGGGGGATATGATATGCATGGGTATATGCATTTATATATAATGAATTTTCACTATAAATACATAGCATATCATTGGAAAGAAGGCATTGACAACTGAGGCAATCAGGAAAAGCTGTATTTAGTGCTATAATACAACAAATTTTGTGAAGTTCTTCACATAAATTATCTAATTTGATTTTCACAATAAGTTTCTGAGGCAACCACAACAAATATTATTATATTGGTTTTACAGGTGGGGCAATTGAGTTTCAGAAAGGTTAAGCAATTTGTCCACAGCTAGTAAGAATAAAAGGTAGGGTTTGAACCTGGGTCTTCTTGACTCCAAGTTCAGCACCATATTCAATCTGCAACATTGTCTTTTATGGATGAGGAAACTGATGCTTAGGGAGGTGAAGTGACTTTCTTTAGACTAAACAACTAGAAAGTGACAAAGATGGAATTTGAATCCAATTTCAACTCTGAATCCAATGTTCTTTTAGTTATTCCATGCTACCAGATGTGATAGTATAAAATTATTTAATATAATATTGGGTAAAATGACAACAACATTAATAACAATAAAATTATTCAATAAGAATAAGTGATATTTGTAAAATATTTTAAGGTTTGCATAATATTTTTCTTAAAACCCTGTGAGGATGAGTTGTTAGAGTATAATTATCCCCTCATTTTGCAGAGGAGGTAACTGAAACTCTGAGAGGTAAAGAGAATTTGCCGTGGTTGCATAACTAAAATAAGTGTCTGAGGAAGAAGTCTAACCCAGATCCCAGATCCCCTGCTGTTTCTCATGTGATTATAAATTTATCAGCACACAGATATATGTCATTCATTGATTATCAATAACCATACAAATGGGAAATGTATTCTATACATAGATGTGTATCGGTTAGTTCACAAGGTATTTTTTTTTATCCCATACGATATATCATTATAAAACGTACATAGCACATATCCTTACCCCTCGGCAATAATATATTCTTCCCTCTAGGTTTATAGACATTTTTCATAGCATAAATAATGTTAAGCTGAAATATCAGGCTGTTGAAAAAAGTTTGTATGGAATGATTAGGGCTGTTATATTATTATTTCCATTTATGTGTGTTAGTCATCATTATGCTGTTTACATAAGATTATAGAAATGTCCACTTACCCCATTCAGCTTATTCACAAAAATTGTTGAGCAATTGATTCATTGTTAATTAATTAGGTATTTGACTTTGGGGAATTAATTTCTCTACTTTGAACCTCAGCTTTGCTATCTTTAGGATGTATATAATAATGCTTCAACTTCCTACTTTACCAGCTTGTCATAATGATCAATGAGTCAATGAATGTGAACATATTTTAAAAACTGATATTAGCATGATCTTGTTGTTATTGTTGTTACTGCTAGGAACATAAAGGAACTGCAAAATGGAATTTAAGATTTCAATATTTTGAGCTGAAAGGGACTTTAAAAATGACCTCATCCAAGTCTCATTCTACAAATGAGAGTACAGAGATCCAGGAAAATGAAGACTTGCTCAAGGTCACATAATGTCAGAAGAGTATGAATTCAGATTCCTAGTCACCAAAACAAGTGTCCTTTCCACCGCAGCACTTTGTCTCACCAAGTTTCTTAGAATATAAGAAACTATAAGGCTTTGACACTGTCCAATATTTTCACTGTTTTTTAGATCAGTTGGCTAAAGTAATAAAAATTGCATATTCACTTTTTAAATTAAATGAGCAGTTGTCAGCTTCAAACTTCTCAAGGCCATGTAATTGAAAACTTGGTGCAGTGGAGAGATTATAGGCATTCGATGACCTGGGATTGAATCCAACCTTTCCCATTCATGAGCAAGTTACCCATCTCTCTGGGCTTCTTTTTCCTAGATGGCCCTTCTAATTCTAAAGCTCATCCTAGTTTGCTTTAAACAAAAAGCAGTGAGATTATACCTGCCTAAATTAGAAATAAGTCCAAAAGTATACAAATTCAGTTCAGTTAAATTTAATAAAATACACAGATATTATATTATCTGACAGGTAGTAGTTAGATGGTATTTTCCTCCTATTAAATAAATTTAAAAATGCAATATGGAATTGAATTGAATTGAAAGATAGACAGCTGAAGCAGAAAGGTAGCTAACACTTTAGGTACCAGGTTGCCAATATGGTGCCAGAATGACTTTAGTCTAACCTGAGTCTAGAATTGAGTTGGTAAAAAGAACCACTAAAAATTTATACAATTAAGAATCTTGTCTGAGAGAAGCAAATATAATCATAGAATAATATTTGTAAATTCTAGCATGTTTTTGTACAAGAGCACTGGCCTAGAATTTGGAAGCTAGGTTCAAATCCTGGGGCTTCTACTCCCAGCCTGGCTGACTTTGGGCAAGTTGTTTACTCTTCCTCCCACTCAATTTTGTCATCTGTAAAATGGAGAAGTTGGGCAGACACATCTCCCAAGATCACTTCCAGTTTTAAAATTCTAGACAAAAAATGAAATAATATCCTGTTATTCTTTAAGCAAGGCACTGATTAGAACTTGATAGACCTCAGGGATTATAAAGCTCCACCCCTCTATTTTGTAGATGAGAAAACCAAAGCCCAGAGAGTCTATGACTTGAGACTATGGGGATCTATTTGTAACATTAAAATTCACAATAAAATTAAAATTCTTACATGATTTAGAATGTGACCCAATAGCACTCTCTTACATTAATCCTACAATTAAAGAAAATTCATACTCTGATGAAGATTTACAGATGGGACTTCCCTAGTACAAAAGAAAATCAGCCTGTGCCCAGGAGTATTTTGATATTACTTCCTAAAAATGATTAAAAACAGAGATGCAACATAGCACATGCTATTATGAAGCTTATTTCTGTACAAGTATCTTGCAAACTCCTTGAGGTAAGGGCCCAGTGACATATGTTGATCTTTTTATGCCCTCAGTGCCTAAGGTAGTGTTGGGTACTCCTCCTAATATAATAACAATTTTAAAAAGTTTAAAAATAAACTTTCATCTTCATTTGGAGTTCATCAGTTCTCTCTGTGAAAGTGGATAGTATTTTTCATCCTGAGTCCTTTGAAGATGTCTTGTATCATTGTCTTAATTAGAGTAGTTAAGTCTTTCACAGTTGATCATCTTTATAATATAGCTGTTACTGTGTACAGTGTTTGCCTGGTTCTGCTCACTTCACTTTGTGTGATTTATAGAAGTCTTCCCAGGCATGTGATGATTACTTGTTGAAATCAATGGAAATGAAATTCTCAGCTATACCAACTAGATGCACCTGAGTTAGTCAGAAAATAAAATGGACTTCATCTTCACTCTATATAGATTTCCCTCAATTAACCTTTGAAAAATGGTAGTAATAATTAACAGTCTAAAATAGGGAGTGATGTAAATTATTCCTGAGTCACAGTTCATGCATGAATAGTATTGTGAGTTTCCCAATGGAAAAATAACACATATATAATATAATGCTGATATATGACCTAATTAAGTAATGATATTTTCTTCTTTACTAGTTCATTTATTTGTTTTTTTAAAAATAATTTATCTGTCTATCTTCTTGTTTACTTATTTACTGTAGATGATAAAGGACTAGCCTTGAAGTCAGGAACACCAGTTTCTAAATTTTGCTATCGATCCTTAATAGCTATATGGTCATGGCCAAGTCAATGATCTTTTCTCAGCTTCAGTTTTCTAATCTATAAAGTGGCAATAATGATACTTCACATGATTGTCTCTAAGGATCAAATGCAAGAAGAGCACTTTGCAAACCTTAAAGTGCTGTATAAATGTTGTTGTTACTGCTGTTTTTATAATTATTATTAAATGCACTAAAGCTCGGTGGTATAATAGATAGAGATCCAAAATTGAAATCAGGAAGATCTTACTTCAAATCTGGCCTCAGACACTTGATAGCTTTGCAACCCTAAGTAACTCACTTAATCTCTGCCTTAGTGTCCTCATCTGTAAAATGGAAAGAATAATAGCACCTACCTTCCATGGCTGTTGTGAGGATTAAATGAGATGACATTTGTAAAGTGCTTTGCAAAATTTTAAAGATTTATTATTACTATTATTGTTATTAATATTATCTTCCTTACTTCTTAACAGTCTCTTACATTGTTAGGAAAAAAGATTAATATAGTTTGAGTTAGGTTAGAATAAAGACTAATTCATCATGAGTTAATAAGTGATTAATTTCAACACTATATTAAACCAATGCAATTAAGAATATGGGGCACCTTAGTAATCATCTCATCCTATGGAATAGGGGTATTTCCATCTCTATGTACTTTTGTGCTACTCCTAAAAGATTGATTAAAAAGGACAGAAGTTTCAAAGAATGAATAACTTCAAGGAAGACACAAATGTCCTTAAATTTCTACAGTCAATGTCAATTTAATCAATAGCTACCAATTTCTTGATGTTTGTAATCAACCTTTATAACATTTAAAAGCACCATTGTAATTGCTAATATATTTCATTAATTCAGCACTTCCTTCATACTTTTCATTAACACTTTCTCATTTGATCTCATTATAGGATCCTTAGCTCTAAAATCATACATTTCTTTCTTTTTCCTTTTTAGGAATTACCACTGTTTTGACCATGACCACTTTAAGTATCAGTGCTAGGCACTCTTTGCCAAAGGTGTCCTATGCAACTGCCATGGATTGGTTCATAGCTGTGTGTTTTGCCTTTGTCTTCTCTGCCCTTATTGAGTTTGCAGCTGTCAATTATTTTACCAACCTTCAGAACCAGAGAGGAATGCAAAAGGTGTCTAGGACAGCGCTACCCTCAGTCACAACGATGCCAGTGGAGGATGAGATTGTTTTGGTAATGGTTCATTTTTCTAACATTATGAATTTTACTGCAAAAGATAGCAAGAATAATGCATTCTGGTACTTGAAGTATCTTGAAGTAGTGTTAGATGGGGGCAAAACACCTACCCCTGAAGTTTTCATTACATTGTAGTCAAAATTTTATAGTTTCAGAGGGGAAAAACCTTACAAGTCTTCATTTTCCTTTTCTAAAAATTATTTTACTCTCCTGATATTGATACTAGATTTTAGGTTCCCTGAGCAGCCTATAAGGATGTTTTTAGGCTTTAGATGTATCTTTTGAACGTGGCCACACACACCAACTACAGAGGATAAAAAGAAACAAGTGACTTTCAACATATTGAACCTTCAGATGCTGAAAGAAGCCAACAGGGACTGATACAGAATTGGGGAGGGGAGGTGTTTATAGAAAGTTAAATTGAGAAAAATATAAAAATGAGATTACATGTAAATATACAAAAATTGTAGCCAAAGTCCAGACTTTTTGTTCATACTCATAAAAATATCCAATTTTTTATATTTAGCTGTTTGAAATATCTGGATAAGCAATCAACAATTTTTAAAAATTATTTTTATTTAATCAAATATTTTCCAATTACATGTATTTTTTAAGTCATTCCTTAAACTTTTGAGTTCCAAATTCTCTCTTTCCTTCCCACCCTTTCTCCCTCCTTGAGGAGACAAGTACTTTGATTTTGATTATATATGTGAGGTTATGTCAAACATTTCCTTATTAGCCACATTGTAAAAGAAAACACAAATAAAACAAAATAATAACAGTTTTAAAAAGTTTAAAAATATATTTCAATCTTTATTTGGAGTTCATCAGTTCTCTCTGTGAAAGTGGATAGTATTTTTCATCCTGAGTCCTTTGAAGATGTCTTGTATCATTGTCTTAATTAGAGTAGATAAGTCTTTCACAGTTGATTGTCTTTACAATATAGCTATTACTGTGTTCAGTGTTTGCCTGGTTCTGCTCACTTCACTTTGTGTGATTTATAGAAGTCTTCCCAGATCTTTCTGAAACCATTTTGCTCATCATTTCTTGTAGCATAATACTATTCCATCACAAGTATATACTACAACTTGTTTAGGTATTCCCCAATTAATGGACATCCTCTTGATTTCTAATTTTTTGCCAACACAAAAAGAGCTGCTATAAATATTTTTGTACAAATAAGTCCTTTTTAATTTTCTTTGATCTTTTTGGGATACAGACCTAAAAGAGACATTGCTGGGTCAAAGGGTGTCTCAGTTGTATAGCCCTTTGGACCCGGAATGGTTGGGCTAGTTCACAACTCCACCAACAGTATATTACAATAATTTTTCTATCCCCTCCAGAATTTGTAATTTTCTTTTTCTGTCATAATAGCCAATTTGATAAGTGTGAGGTAGCATGTCAGAGTCATTTTAATTGGCATTTCTCTAACTAGTAGTGATTTGCAACATTTTATTATGTGACCATTAATAGTTTTGATTTTTTTTTTAAAGCTGCCTATTCATATCTTTTTACCATTTACCAACTGAAGAATAGCTTTTTTAAAATAAATTTGGCTCAGTTCCCTATATATTTGGGAAAGGAGACCTTTATCAAAGAAACTTGTTGCAAAAATTTTCCCCATTTTCCTGTTTTCATTATAATTTTGGCTTCATTAGTTTTGTTTTTGCAAAAGCCTTTTAATTTCATGCAATCAAAATTATTTATTTTACTTCCCATAATGTCCAATATTCATTGGACTCTTCTCTTGTCCACAGATCTGACAGGTACATTTTTTTTCATATTCAACCACTTTATTTATTATATCACCTTTTATGTCCAAATTATTTATCCATTTTGACCTTATCTTAGTATATGATGTGAGATATTGGTCTATACCTAGTTTTTGTCAAACTGCTTTCCAGTTTTCCCAGCAACTTTTTGTCAGTGAGTTCTTACCCTTAAAACTTGTATCATTGGGTCTATCAAACACTAGATTACTGTGGTCATTTGCTATTGCATATTATGTAGCTACTCTATTCCACTGATCTCCCACTCTATTGCTTAGCCGGTACCAGGCTGTTTTTTTTTTATTACAATTTGTAATATAGTTTGAAAGCTGGAACTTCTAGGTCTTCTTCCTTCACATTTTTTCACTGAATCCCTTGTTATACTTCTCCTTTTCTTCTTCCAGATGAGTTTTGTTATGACCATTTCTAGCTTTGTAAAATAATTCCTTAGCACTGAATAGGTAAATTAACTCAGATGAATTGTCATTTTTGTTATATTGACTCAGCCTACCTATGAGCAATTAGTATTTTACCAATTATTTAGATCTGTATTTGTGTGAAGTGTTTCATAATTGTGTTCATATAATTCCTTGGTTTACCTTGGCAGGTGGGTTCCCAAGTATTTTATATTGTTTGCAGTTATTTTAAATAGAATTTCTCTTTTTGTCTTTTTCTCCTGCGTTTTGTTGGTAATATATAGAAATGCTAATGAGTTATGTGGATTTATTTTATATCCTACAAGTCTGCTGAAGTTCTTAATTGTTTTTAACTAGTTTACTAGATGATTCTCTAGGGTTCTCTGTACTATCATATCATCTGCAAAGAGTGATTATTTTGTTTCCTCATTGCCTATTTTTGTTCCTTCCATTTCTTTTTCTTGTCTCACCTCTGTAGCTAGCATTTCTAGTGTGATATTGAATAATAGTAAAGATAATAGATATCCTTGCTTCCCCCCTGATTTTACTAGAAAGGCTTCAAGTTTATTCTCATTACAGAAAATGCCTGCTCTTGGTTTCAGATAGATACGACTTATCATTTTAAGAAACATTCCATTGATTCCTTTGCCTTCTAGTGTTTTTAGTAGGAATGAGTAATGTATTTTCTCAAAGACTTCCTCAGCACTTATTTATATAACCATATGACTGCTGTTGTATTTTGTAGTATTATTCATATGGTTAATTATGCAGATTGTTTTTCTAATAGTGAACCAGTTCTGTATCCTGAGTACAGATTCTACCTGTATGATCTTTGTGATACATTGCTGTAATTTCCTCACTAGTATTTTATTTAAGTTTTAATATTGATATTCTTTAAGGAGACTGGGCTATAGTTTTCTTTCTCTGTTTTGGCTTTTCCTGGACTAGGTATCAAAACTACATTTGTGTCATAAAAGGAATTTGTAGGACTTCATTATCTTTTTTTTCCCCAACTAGTGTTGGTATTAATTGTTTTTTTTTTAAATGTTTGGTAGAATTCACTTGTGAATCCATCAGGTACTGGAGACTTTTTGTTAGGAGCTCATTTATGACTTATTTAATTTTCTTGTTTAAGATAGGGTTATTTAAGTATTCTATTTCTTATTCTGTCAATCTAGACTGTTTATATTTTTGTAAATATTTATCTATTTCACTTGATTATCAGCTTTACTGCCATATAATTGGACAAAATAATTCCTAATAATTGCTTTAATTTCATCTTCATTAGTGGCACATTTTTAAATCAAATTAACCATTGGATTAGATATTTTATTATCTTTTAAAAACAGCTCCTAGTTTTATTTATTTATTCAATTTTTTTAAACTTTCTATTTTTTTATTTTCAGGTTCTTATTTTGGCATTTAATTAGTGATTTTTAATGTCTCATTTTTGTTTTTAAAAATAGTTGCATGCCTGATTCATTGATCTGCTTTTTTTCTATTATATAGATGTAAACATTAAGAAATTTTTCTCTAATTACTACTTTGGCAGCATCCCCCAAATTTTGATATGCTGTCTTTATCTTGAATGAAATTACTGATTTTTATATGTTTTTTTCTTTGACCCATTCATTTCTTAAGATTAGACGATTTACTTTCCAATTAATTTTTAACCTATGCTTCCACAACAATTTATTGAATGTAATTTTTTTTATTTCATTATGGTCTGAAAAGTATGTAATATATATTTCTGCTTTCCTGCAGTTGCTTTGAGGGTTTTATGCCTTTATACATAGTCAATTTTGTGAAGGTGTCATCTGCAGCTGACAAAAAGGCATAATCCTTTCTATTCCCATTCAGTTTTATCAGAGGTCTATCATATCCAACCTTTCTAAGATTCTGTTCATCTCCTTGATTTCTTATTTGTTTTCTGGTTAGATTTAACCACCTCTGAGAGGGGAAAGTTGAAATGCCATTTTAGTATACTTTTATTGTCTTTTATCTGCAGTAATTTAACAATTCCTTTAAGAATTTGGATGCTATGTCATTCAGTGCATATGTTTAGTATTGATATTACTTCATTGTCTATGTTACTTTTTTTTTTTTTGCAAGATGTAGTTTCCCTGTTCATCTCTTTTAATTAGGTCTGTTTTTGCTTTTACTTTGTCTGAGATCATGATTGTTACCCTTGCCCTTTTTTTCACTTTATCTGAAGTATAATAGATTCTGTTCTATTCCCTTACTTTAAATGTGTGTGTGTATATGTGTGTGTGTCTTTCTTTCAAGTTTGTTTCTTGTAAACAGCATATTTTGGATTCTGATTTCTAATTAATTCTGGTATCTGCTTCCATTTTATAAGTGAATTCATCACTTTCACATTCATAGTTATGAATGCTTATTGTGAATGTCCCTCTATCCTATATTCTTCTGTTTATCCATTTCTCTCTCTTTTTATCCTATTTCTCCTCTAAAGTCTGTTTTGCTTCTGACCTTGCTTCTTTTATCTGCCCTTCCTTTCTCTTATCCCCTTTACCTCCTATTTCCCAGTTGAGCAAGAGAGATTTCTCTCACCAATTGAATACACACACATTATGTGTGTGTGTGTGTGTGTGTATACATGCACACACATACATATATACATACACACATATTTATGTATATGTTACATTATGTGTATATGTGTGTATGTGAAATTTTATATAGATACATATGTGTATGAATTCCCCCTTTTTGAATGAATTTAAATATGAGTGAGGTTCAAGCTATGCCTGCCTCCCCACCATTTTCTCATTCATTATAAAAGCTCTTCCTT